AAAATGTCTAAATAATTAGTTTCTTGTCAATAAAATCCTCAATTTTTTATTTAAAAACATGAAAAACTGCAATAATACCCTGTATCGCCATATAAATTTTCATCCCTTATTTTTCACCCTTCTAGTCAAATTTTTACGACAAAAAGTAACCTATTTTATTTTCCATGGTCTAAAGTATCTCTACACCAAAATTTATCAAAATTAGTTGAGTGGTTTAAGAGTTAAAGCGACACAAACAAACAAAAACTCACATTTTTCGCATTTATAATATTACATTATATACTACATTTCCTAGGCAATAATATTGCATTCTAAAACCACAAAGAATATTCACGATTTCTTCTTACTACAAAATTTCAACTTAAAACTATATTTTTCGCAAATGTAATTAAATTTTCATCAAAGTAAAACTAATAAAACTAATTTAGTTTCCAGTTGTTTACATTACTAAACCCATTATGGTATTATGCAAGCCAAAAACACGGTTAGACCATAACACACTTTTTTACTCCCATTCCTCATTCGCCACCGCGTTCACACTCGTTTTTTGTATAAATTTATTTAAACCATAATAGTCTCAACACGACCGCTGCCTACGTGTGTATGACATTATTAGCCTGCGCGTTACACTTTGCCATTTATAATCCAGTATTTTTTACATTTCATGCCATAAATTCAAAGCAATTATTAACTGGCTAATACAATTTACACAACATTCATTCGATATTCGCATAGAATGCATTAATCGCTCAAGGAAGTAAAATCAATCAATGCGGACGCAGTATAGTACTCACATAACACAATTTCCATTTCGTTATTAGTACTACAAACGCTTTTATTAATACACAGCGATGTGTTCGTAAGAGTTTATTGGTTTGTTAGTTGTACCAAATGCGCGAATATGGCACGCCGATGAATTATGACTTCAACACACCGCCGCAATCCGCGCAGACGGTCGCAATGCATTAATCTCAACCCTAATATGGAATTTGTTTATTCTTTTAATAGGAATTCCATCGCACATTGGCGCACGCACGCAGCAATAAACAACATTGGCAAATCCGTACGAAGGCCCCGGCAATTGCAAACGCGCGCTCGGTTTTCTAGCTGATAGATGAAAGAAAATAAATTTACGTTGTTATTGCCTTTTGTCTCTTGTCGCAATGTTTCATAAGCGTATACAAATCATGTCCATTTGTATACGCTCGCGAATCTACGCAGCAGTGTTTTCGCCATCAGCATTCGTAGATTAATTTTTTCGATTCGGGCGAATACTTGATTTATGAACGCGGACTGCGAACGCGGAATGAGTTTTCTAGCTGAAAACAATCACATTCAAATCTTTGTGAAACACTTGTCTTGTGCAATATTTTGACAATGAAACATGTCGAAGAGAAATTGTCTCATTGTTTGACTCGTCAATTAATCGAACATTCTTTTGTTGATGAAGAAATTTTCTTGTTTAATGGTAATTATTGTGTGATAAATAAATATTTAAGTATTTAAGTACATATCGTATTGGAAATGTCAGTTATTTCATAGTTACTCGAAAACTAATGGCGATAGAATAATGATTCTTTCAGTTTTGGATTGTGGTTTTAATTCTACGCATAATTACGAAATAATTACTTTGATTTTTGGTATGAATAAGAAGTTATTCTCGATTGAAATGTAATTTATGAAATAATTATGCATAAATTGAAAATCTTATTTGTAACTGCTCCAAAATGAGTGAGCAAATGATATTTGAATGCCTAAGTGACAATTGAAGATTTCTATTCATAAAAACATGAATTATAACAATAAAAACTATGAAAAAAATATTAATTGCTTGCAAAAATAGCAAATTTTATGCAAAACTTGATCTTTAAATGCACCAAACTGCTCCAAACTGCATTTCAAACCTACGTCTATTCAAAATTATAGTTCTATACCCAAAAATAAATTTATGAATAGCAAATAGCAGCAGATCTGCAATATTATGACATGAATGAAAATTATGTTCGAATTTATCATCATGCGAATGGTAAACGCGTATAGAACGAAATGTAACCGTAATCCAACCAACATCCCGAAAACACGAAACGTTCGTCCAACACGTGATATTCCGGTGGGTGTACTCGTATTCGATGCAGAGGAATTTGCGCCCGTGCAATAACGTAATATGAGTGATACGCGAACGCGGCACGTTCGCCGCGCGTAATAAATTCGCCCCGGCGTGAAGGCGAGAGGCAAGAACGAGCGTAATCGCAGCGCAACGAAACGATATTGCTGCGAGCGTAATTTAATGTCGACGGCGGCGTCGCGACGTCGACGACCCGGCCACGCCGGACGCAAACACGATGTGCATCGTGACCTACTAAATGCACCTAAGCCATTTCACAGCGTCTCCGATGTGTCTGGGCTTAAATTCACAAGAAAATAAACTTGACTAACTAAAAACTAAAAAATTGAAAAAAAAATCAACTTTTATTTGTTTGTGCGAATTTAATGCAATAATCCAACGGGAAATACGATGAAATATTTGCATTCCCAGTTTGTCTGTTTTTTTCTTTTCTTTATTTTTAATTCGATAAGCAAATATTGGCGATTTAACGGTACCACATGCGCAGGCGGAGTGACGTTAATATACTCCGGTTTTTTCTTTCGCCACAAAGAAAGCCCAATGACACAACTTTCCGGCTTCGATGTCTGCGTGTGCGGCTGCGGCTTGTTAACAAGCACAACCGTAAAAAGCCGGTATGCATCTTGATTCTCGAATCGTGGAAACGATAAACTCGCTTAAATTATTACCGCAAATTTATTCAGTCGGCAGACAAGTCTTATATTTACGTACATGCTTGAGTATGACAAACAGTTTATGACAAACTGATTGCAATTAAGAATATTAAACTGCACGAGCGCAGCGGCGGTTTTAAAACGCATTATCATTTCAATGTTGTATGTGGGTCATTCGTGCAGGAATGAAGGCGCCACGAGCATTCAACCCGAAGAGTCACCCTAACATTAAATCAGGAAAACATCGTTGAAATTCCCCAAAGTCACATTAGCACATATTCATTGAGTAATGGGTGTGCAACCGACCAAAGAGCACTTTAATTTATTTTTTAATTTAAGAAATTTTTATATTTTTTCACAAAAAAAAAACAATTTTGTGTTTTTTGATATTTTTAAATGATTTAAAAGAAGTTTCTTAATTTTATACAATTTTATAAGCTATTTGACATATTTTACCGTATTTATATCATCGATAGACTTAACTTTTCATATTTTATTTTAAATTTTTCTTGCGCATCGGCGCATCTATAGTTCCTGCATCATTGAATAACGAATTACGAGTATGTAATATTATAGTACGTACGTGATGCGATATATTATCAGCCCCATGACCGCCCGAGCCGTTTAATAGCACACGTCGGACACACTCCGTTAATATATCATGCGCCCTTAGCACCCCTATATTCCTTCCGACTGGGGAGCGTTGTTCGTTAGCCCTTGGTCGTTAGCCGCCAACAACTCATTTTATCAGTTGGTGTGTAAGAGCGGCTCTTAAATGAATAACATAACCAAATACCTACGTATACTAGATAAGTGCGGATAGATAAAAATGTTGTTTGTGCTTTATCCAGCGTTGAAAAAAATGCAGTTCGTAGGCGTGTGTCGCGTTAATCAAGCGATTTAATATCACTTTTATGGCGTTTCCACGAATCAGGCAATTGTTTATCACGACCACGAATGACAGAATGCATATTGTGGAGATATGTGTGCTGTGTGGTGCACGATAAACAAAAAATGGTTAATTATACGTTTTTGTTATAAGTAAATGATTAAATAAAAAGGAAGTGATAAGAAGTTTAAACATGTGGTTCACATAACAAGCAAATATGATAAATAAAGTTGTTTGCAGCATGAGTGGAAAAGTGATTATAATATGGGCACGTTTTATACAATGTAGTGAAATATTAGTATTTTTTGTTAATTACTTGAAAACTAATCAATGGATAATAAAAATTCCTACAAAAATCTATTCTGTATTAAATTCTAGATCTAATAGTAAAAATATTTTAATGATATTAAGTTTCTATCAAAAGTTACAGGCCTATTATTATAATATTTGTATTTGTTATATTTTTATGCAAAATTCAAGTTTATTTGTTTAAAACTCAGCTGGTAATAAATTTATCTGCTAAATCTTTACACAGTTAAATAGAGAAATTAATGTGCAGTTATGCTGCAAAAAATGACAATCTTAAAACAAATAGTTATCGAGTTATTAACAAATTAAAAACACGCTGCAATTTTATATTACCCCGGAAATTTTTATACAACACTCAAGTTTATTTGTTTATAACTAAAGCTGCAATAAATGAATCTGCTAAATATTAACACAGTTAAATAGGGAAATTAATGTTGAGTTAATTTACAAAAAAGAACATTTCTAAAGCAAATAGTTATCAAGTTATTTACAAATTAAAAACACGTTGCAATTTTATTTTTTCCCAGGAATTCTGACTACAAATAAAAAATGGAAAAAACATGTTCAATATTTTCAGCTAACTGGAATATATAATTAAATCAGTAAATATTATCTCCTGTCATCAACAAGCGTGCAGAAATTGTTTTTTTTTTCTTTCGACTTGCACGCTTAGAACAGTTCTAATTTCGCATAAATTCCATCTATTCCTCTAGCCGACAAAAACACGCTAATGCGTTTCTTTGTTTCGTCTGCTGCTCTGCCTCGAATTGAATTACTTCCGTGTGATTGCGATAAAGAGTAGCAACCGAACAACATTTAATTACACGCACCAAACCACACTACACGAGTTCCCACAAACGACAAAAATCCCCTTTTCAAACACTTACTCGTTCAACGCGACACAAGAAGGTAATACAAATACATATACGAAAGTACACATATGATCGAAAGCAATCATCTCGAAGTACGAGTAAGAACGAAAACAAAACGGTAATTTATTATGTATTATGTTGCGCCAACATACCTTTTCGTTAAGCGTGCCGCTCGTGCGAGATTCACCTCGCGATGTCTGCTCGATGATAATGAATACTCCGTGAGTTCCTGGAAACAAATGAATTTGAGCACAATTAATATTCGGTTGTATCACGCTTCGGAATGCACATTAGTAATAAAATGTGGTAAATTACATGTTTAAAGAAAAAGTATTGCTTGTGGTTGGTCTTTTTGTCGTTGATTAAGATATCAGAAGGCTATATTTGTACATATAGTGAATCAGTATGGTTAGGTTTTCAATCAGGAAATGGGTTGGAAGTAAAATGTTAAAATGTTTTATTTGTGAAAGGATATGCTCTTATCAACTGCGTCAGAATTATTTACAAATTGACGTATTTAACATAAAAAAATCAAGGGTATATCAGAAATATATAAAACAGAGTTGTGTTAGTTACAACAGTTATAACTCATGAACAGGTGGACAGGTTTTGATAAAATTTGATTTGTTGCATCCGTCTTGAGTATGAGAATAACTATTAAAATATCAAAAATTGCGACTTTAAAGGTGCAAAATAAGGGATGAAACTTGGTGTAGAGGTTCAATCATAGTTATAGTTAAATAATTGACTCCTAGAAGGCGCAAAAGTAGATTATTGACATTTACAACTTTCCAATAAAATTACGAATTTTCTTCTTCTTCTGATGTTTCTACTGCCATTTTCTTTTACAAAATTTTATGATATTATAAAAATTATTTAGCCATTCATAAATCAACATAACTTGATTGATTTCTTAACTTAATTTTATTTGCTTTATAACTTACCAAGCATAACTAAACCACATTTTTCTTTTGGTCTACATCATTAATATAATTACATAATTTCAGCACAATTGTATATTTGTTACCCATACTTATGAAAATAAGCACATCACAGATCAAACTCCAAGCACATAAATGCGCACACCAAAGAATACTCGTAAAAACCGTAAACGAATGTGAATTCCACTTTAATTCAGCTGTCATTGCCACCAACGAGCAACCATAGAGTAATCAACACGAACACACAAAAAAACCTTTTGCATAGACTTCACTTATGAGTCTAAGTAGATATGACTACGTTAGGCATGCAATTAACGCACGAACAGCACACACAACCCGTAAAATATTTCCTCAATATCATAATAACAATGTAACAATGAGTGACGAAAAAAAACCTCTTATAAAACGGCGGAGACCAACAAGCATCGAAGGTAATTGAGCGTTACTAACCAAATTTATAACTTTTTCGTTTTATAGCCTGACTTGACTTATCTCGCTAAGTATTCGTAGATTATCGCTGCCTGGAGCTTTTATTGATACTCGTAACGTGTTTTTTTATATATTTTTTGTATAGAAATCGTTGATCTCATCATGTCCACTAAACCAGGAATAAATCAACAATGGTTAAAAGAGGAAAAAAATGAATAACTTTGAATAAGCGAGGTATTATACCAGGAAACTCATCAGCATCAATGAAATCAGCAGCGTGGTAAGGCGAAGAATGGTATTTTCGATTCGATTTCCATGCATGAATTTACGTAAATCGACGGTGTAAGCGTTGAATTCCAAGTACAATCGAGTACAAGTACATATCAAACAAAACTGATGGATGAAGGATGTGTTAGAGGCGAGATGTAGATGTTGAGGTAAATGTATGCTAATGTTTCACGCAGGTATTTGAATAAATCCAAGAGTTAAAGAGTCAATGTCACTTTAAAACGCTAAATTTTGATATTACTTATTTAACGTTTTAGTTTATCTATAAATAAATTAATAAGTTCGGATTATGTATTTTTAGATTGTTTATATCGAGGCTTGGAATTGAAAAACTGTGAAAAAATTATGTTATAAGTCGAAATTTGAATTTGTTTGTATGTTTGTGACGTTTTCGCGGCAAAACTATTCAACAAATATTGATACATTTTGGTATAAAGATAGTTATAACTAAGGAAAAGCAAATAGCCTACTTTTTGACACAAAAATTGCCCAGAGAGTGTAAAATAAGGGATGAAAGTTGGTAATTCATGCCGAGATGGTGTAAAGTGCAATATTATGGTTTCTCACTTCTCCATTTTAAATTAAGAACTTTATTGATGAATTCGGCATATAATATGTCCAAAAAACATTGAAGAAATAGGTTAAAGTAATTTTTACTTAATCATAATTTTCATCATTCGCACCCTAAATATAAAAACTGCACCTTAGACAACAATAAAAACAAAATAAAGTAGTTTTCAATGCGAAATTCAACTTTAAAAGCTTATAATGCCTTTAAAACAAACAAAAAATCACTTAATACGTTCCTGTACCTCAACTCAATGCGCTATGAATAGATAAATACGAAGTGATCTCGAGCTGGACGCAATCGTCGACGAGAGAACTTGCAATACTACTTACGCTCTTGAATATATTAATTTATCGATCCGATCCGTCAAGTCATTGAACCGCTGCGAAGCTCCGATGCATGCTGGACGAGCAAACATCGCCTAGGATTATTCCTCCATCCAGTCGTATACAGCCATAGAATGAGCTCCATAGGTTCGAATTCGACTCCGTGCTCAACTTCAGCTATAAACTTGTCGCATGCACATTTAAACGCGCACTTTGTGCATAATCTCATTGTTTATGACGCGTGTACGGTGCTGAATTTAAAAACGAACGCATGCGCCGTAATTAACTGTTTACATTTTGTTATCAGCCGTAATTTTTACTACATTTTTACGTGTGCAGTGGTTTTGAATAATGCATACAACTGATTGTTTCAGCCATCAAAAAAATCGCTCGGATTTTAATGGCTTTTTAAAGTTTTCAACTTTCAAGCGGCGCAGCACTCTGTTACAAATGCATTATCACAACAAGAAATTGACTATTACTCACTGCAAGCAATGTACAATAAGAAAAAGTACGGATAATATAAATTACAACCTCATGCGGTCCTAAAATAAAATTGAAACGAAAAAAATACGATTTGAGAGGCCATTAAAAGCTTCTGTGTTTTCACACACCCAGCAAGGTCAGGAGGGAATTTATCATGCATCAAGATCGCGCTTTGTGCGTGTAACGCACTCTATTCATGATTATTATTATCGTAGAGCACTTATTCCGTCTTGATATAGATTCTCAATTACTAACAGCGCACAGAGTCAAGGATTCGGTCAAACATTTATCGATATAAGCAGTAAAACAACGAATTTTTAGGATTTCATTAATACTACTGTATCCGTTATGCAATTAACATTCAACTTCATCATTCTACGACTTTTAATGAGTTTTCAAGTTGTTTTGTTGTATTTGAGTGGAAAAACGAACAATATCGGTGTTTGTCTCAAATTGGTAAAGACTTTTCACACGTCTATATAAATTTACTTCCTTGTGAAACACAATTAAACATTCTAAACGATTTTCTCTGTTTTTTGCTTTTAAATTTCGCTTTCAAAAACTTGAATTTTTCATACTAATGTCGGTCATTCGTATGAACACTTATGAGTGATGCTTAGCTTTAGCTTTGCCTGCTACCTTTTTTTGTAGCGTGAACCGAGAGGACATTTTAAACATTTCCAAAACGCCATTACCGCATTACGCGCACTTATTGTGGCGTAAAAAGCGGCTTTTTATCGCCGTTTACACACATCGCGCAGGCATGAGATGCTTTTACGGTTGCACAGTGCACCGGAGAAATTGAGACAACATAAAAAATATAAATAATAAACTACAGAAACGAATAAACTCCAAACGAGCTCCTGAGTATGTGTATACACCGTGTAAACTTACAACATTTCGGTGAAAAACGCAGTCAACTCAGACTCAACTTTCTTTTCGACTCGCGCAGCGCGATAAGAATAAGGATAATAAGCGTACTCGAGCTATAAAATTCAGTCGTAAAAATGTGAGCCTGGGCAATTATTCTTTGTTCTTTCATTGTGTGGTTTGGCCTGTGCGTGGTGTCACAAACATTTTTCAAAATTGCGGTCAATAATCTACTCTTTCGTTGTGTTTTGTGTGCACGATTCGTCAAGGCCAATTATTTTCGATAAATCAAATTTGTTCACCGGACACCAAAACGTCCATCGCTTACACTCGTGCATTTTTTATCACGAGTTTATCTAAGTAAACACGTCCGCCATGCGCAATGCTCCAATTATTCACGACTAAACAACAAGAAAAAGCAGAGGAAAAAAACAACTAACTTCAGTGATGATGAATTAATAAATAATCGGTTCGCCGTGCTCCAGCGCTTGCATTCGACGTTTCGACGTCATGGGACGCTGCCCGGCATTAATTTCGTCGTTTCTGTGCCGATCGTGTGAATTATTAACTACTGCGCTTACTGCTTGGCTCGTCTGGAAGTTTATGAATTTTGGAAGCGCGACTTGAACATCCGCGCGCGGTGATGGCGTAAGCCGAGCGAGATGAGGAATCGTTTCGAGCACATAATTACGAAATAATAACCCCGGTAAAGAATCACCAGAGGATTGTGACTCGCGACTACGACGATTGTAACAAGTAACAGCCTTGTGACCTTGTTTTTTATTACTCTATATGTGTATAGAAACTCATCTCCCGCTAAGACGTAAAGTTAAAAATTAAAAAAAAAAGTTAAAGTTGTCTAGGCGGACGAAAATAGGAAGAGTCACTGGAGGCGAATTTCGAAGTGTTACTACATGTGAAGTATTAAAATAAAAATCAATCCAACCAGATGATTTATTGGCGCTTGATTCTCAATCCAACTCAGAAAAAAACAACGCGAAATTGATTTATGAAATTATCGAGGCGCGTCCAATATGTTTAATTCAATCAGATTGATAAACATGTACATAAAACACTTATCTGTAATCAGTAATCATCCATCATCGATCTCGTATGTTGGATCTTGTATACGGAAACGAAGTCTTAAACTAAAAAAACTAAATTTGTTTATCGGACGATCCTAGAGAATTTAAAAGGCGCATCAATTTCATAATCACGTAGCCATATTAAATACAACTTTCTTTCGATGTTGGATCATAAATAGACATCCGTATTCTTATTAAACCTAATCCAAAGCAGTATAAATGCGAATGTGTGTTTCTGACGCTTTCACGCAAAAACTAATGAAGTAATTTAGATAAATTTTGGTGGAGAAATACTTTTTACTAAGGAAAATAAAATAGCTTACTTTTTGTTCGAAAATTTTAACTGAAAGGGTGGAAAAAGGGATAAAAGTGGTTACAAAGTTTTTATCATAGTTACAGTAATGTAATTCGCATCTAGATGGCGCTAAAGTAAAATGTTTGCATTTCTCATTTAAAAAAAATTAAGAAAGAATTTTTGACAAAATTCGCACTTAATAAGCCCAAAAACATGAAAAATAATTAATAATTCCACATTTTATTAAAATCTATTTATGTGTAAAAGATTAACATGATTGATTGATGATACAGCAAATACTCGTATCGATTACGTGGTAACCAAAGTGAATCATGTGGTAATCGTAGTAAAAGTGTGCGAAAAGCACAAAGTGTCACGAAGGCGGCGAAACTTTTACAAACATTTATTTTTACTCATATCTGCCTGAGCGAATGTTGATGCTACACTCAACCAATGGGCGAATTGGGTCTCAGTCGCAACACGCGGACGTGCAATTCGAACTCGAAGCACGACGAAATTAGGTTGCGGACTGCGGTTTGTCGAGGCGACGAAAATATCTCAACTACGACTTGGACGATATACATTTATATTTTCGCCAAGTGGTCGCAAACGTCTTATCGTAATGTTTCACCTATGAATCGTGAGAAAATGTAGATTTTTCCTCTAGAAAATTGCACCTCGTAAACATAGGAAATCGTCTCATTTATAACCACTTAGGTCCGACATTGTTCGTTTACAATTCGTGTTATCGAAGCACACAAGGTATACATAAAGATAAGCGCGTGTCGCGTTTGTGTTGCAACGTTATCGCCACCGCTGTAGGACCGCAGCTGATGACCTGTGAACCGGCCAACACTTTGTTTTATCTTTATATTCTTTCACGCCACGTAACTGTGTCGGGCCCTTTATCAGCATGCGGGAACTCGGCGTCTCTAACCGAGCAGAACATCCGCCAGACAGGCAACAACCGAAACACAGTAAAGTTTAGAAAACATTTAACTTGGAAGAAAATCTAAGCATCGCAACCCTAGAATACAATCGGATAGAACAAGAAAAGTACTTGCACAATGCACATGTGTGTCACATCTCGGCGAGGATGTGACAAAGTGACAAATAACAACGCTGCCGACATGAATCTTTCGTGTTGAGTCGCGACGCATTTATTTATCGATGTGCCTGGATTTCCAAGAAAACGCCGAGTATTTTAACGTCACTGCAATGCGACTGTGACAAATGTAAAACTGCGTCAAATAGAACAATGGGTGGATTTATTCAGACACCAAAACAAACACAAATACGCTTGGTTTATTCTGGTTGATTGTGATTGTCGACTGATAAAGAAAAATTTACAATAAATCGATTATGCACATTCCATCTGTAAATACATACCCTCAATTCTTATCACATGCACACATTCACACTATATATTCAATAAAATGAATTCAAATAAGGTATTTGCAATTTGATGCGACAAACTGTCATAAACACTGCGATAACAAATCGAAGAAATTTATTACGTTATTTCTGCGCGTTTTGTCCACAATCGGCGGGAGTGCATAGTGCCCTCATCCATCTCCACTGATGGGTCAAGAATTCCCAAATTCCTTCGTTTCCTCGAAGCGGCAACCCGAAGCGAAACAGTTTTATCGGTTTTATTATACGCCGCGCTGCGCCTCTCATAAGTCCATAATGTCTCCGTTTTCTCCAAGCTGTCCCTTGCAAAGCGCGGCAATATACCACCCGACGACCTCACCAGTCACCGCAAACCTATCTGCGCTTTTTCTCTATTTGTATTCTAACATGTGGAAACCGGACCCAATTTCATTTCGTGGGATATCTCGGAAATTTAATACAAACATTTTTGGGGGAAAGCGAAATAAATTTTTGAATTTTCTGCGAATATTTCGCATGAAACTATTATGAATATTAAATTAATACATATTTAACAGTTTAAGTAATATTATGAATGTGATTGTGAGTAAATTGTATGTTTGTGACGCTTTCACATAAAAACCACCGAACCAATTTTGATAAATTTTAGTTTGGAGATAGTTTTGTATTTGGAAAATAAAATAGACTACTTTTTATCGCAGAAAAATAACTTACAGGGTGTTAAATACTTGATAAAAATTGAGATTTAATCATAGTTAGTTATATAATTCAAACCTAGATGGCGCTAAAATGTAAAATTAGCATTTCTAACTTCTTTAAAGTGAAATTATGCATCATATTGATGAATTCAGCACATAATAAACACAAGAAACAAGAAATTTCACATTTAGGCTTATTTTTATGAGTCTAGACGGTTAAATCACGTGGAAAAGCTACTAAATATATACCCAAAATATGTAGGTATAATACAGTGACAAAACGCCAGATGTTATCGTGGTGGATCTCCGAGGATGGCCCTCAGACTATTTGTCTAGTCTGCAGCAAGTCCTAAATGCGAGGCGTTCATGTTAGTGTTGGTTTTGATAAGTTAAACTCCAGGCAGTTATCCCAAGTCAAACAGAAAATGTGGCAGCAACGTGTAACAGTCAGAATTATAATATTAGTGGTTGGAGTCGACCAGTCGACGAAGCCAAAGCTGCATTTTGTGTTCGGCTTGAAATTCATGTGACCATATGCCGATAAACCGATAACCGACTGTGGTTAATAATGCAAATGAGAGCAGATTAAAGAGATTAGACGAATCCGGCGACTTTCGGTTTTTCTAATTGTTTCAGCGACTTCAGCACTTTTGAGGCGATTAAATCGATCTGCAGATTTGTTAGGAAAGTAATTTGTGAAAAAAGTGATGATTCGATGGAAACTTTGTAAGAAAATAATATTTCCAGTCGATTAATCCACAATAATTCAATTTGTAACTTTTTTCTTTTAAAAAGTTAAAGAAAATTGCTTAAATTGGGTTAATATTTTTATATAAAGCTAAAAAAGTAATTAAAATGTAATAAAATAGAAGTTAAATCATAAGATTGCAAAAATATTGGTGAAATGGTAGATTGAGAGGTTTTGAGAAAATTGAGATTGAAATTCCAAGTACAAGTCAGCAACTCAGCGACTCCTTCACTCAGTCAGTAGACACATCGAAATTGGAATCCATATTGAATGAAATTCGCGATAGGAACGCGAGATTGAAGCGAGAGCAAAGAAATTGCGAATAAATTTTCTCGAACTGAAATTCACCACATCAGTAAACAAAATATTTTACCTTTTAATTACAAAAACAAAAACAAAAACTTGTAGCGTCACCAATATTAATATGTTATTATTGTACTTATTCCACAGCAGTGTAATTACACTGTGTGCGCATATCATTTAGGCCCTTTGCAAGCATTTATAATCCCCACGTTGCTTTCCCAGTGCATGTTTTAGCGGAAATCGTGAGTCATAGCAATAAACGCCGTAGTGTCGTGTCGTGCGTAGGTAAATTGCAGGTAAGTAGCCGAAGCCGGCACCAGCAAGTCGAGGGTTGTACGGAAAATATGTAAACCTAATAACCACTACCTTGGGCTCCATTGTGTCGCAACCATGACATTAAACTATTTGAGAATTAACTCGAAATCTATAATATAAAAATTAATCGCAAAATCTGTTGGTAAGCGCATAACTCAACAACGCCTGCACCAATTTGGCCAATTCTTGATTTAAAATATTCGTTAAAGTCCAAGGATGGTTTTTACGGCGAGAAAAAATCGAATAAGTGCCGGGAAAACCCTAAAAACACCCTTTCTCTATAGAATAAAAGTTAGCATTGAGATTCAATCATAGTTATAGTAAAATTCTTTATATAATTAATTTCTTTAAAAAAGAATTGCGAAACTTCTCAGTGTTTCCAAACAATAATCAAAACGCATATTTTTAATTGAAAATTTCAATGAAAATGCATGCAATTTTCCTGTTTGGAGAAAATTACAAGATACAAATGTATCTAATTATGTCTTCTTGTTCGTAGCAATAGTTTATCGAGCGCAAAAAGTCTCCCAACCAGTTATTACACAAGTACTCGATTGAAGACTATACGCACATCTTTAGCATCTTCTTTTCGACTTCCTCTTGTGTTCGTGTTCTTATTGCACAAGCCTCGAATCGCCGTCTAACGCCGATCGAATAACTGTAATATTTTTTTAGGCACAGACCACCGACAAAATTTAATAATGCTAATATACCTATGTCTAGGCGTATCAATCGTCTCTTCCCCGTTTACACACGTCGTAATCAACGATATTAAGAGTTGAATTCAAATTTTAGATTTGCGCTGCACGGAATAACACGAACAATTGCGCGCAGCGCGCAGTTACACAAAGCTCGATTACGCTTTGAAGTCATAAGTACGTTTTAATTATAAAAGCGAAAAGTACGGTTCATTTCGACGTTTTCATTGCAGCATTTTACTCCGGAATTGTGAAGCGCACAAAGCGGAAATAAACTAATTTGCTGCGAAAACTAGAAAAATACATGTCGTATTGATTTTATCCGGAAAAAAAGCACACACGATGGAATATATATCTTTTCATGCGTGTTTTTGATTATAATTTTATACAAATGTAATCTTTTAATGAAATTTATAAATTTACCTTAATTTTTGTTGTATTTGTATATTAGCATCCCAAATTGTGCACACTTTTCACAAGTCACTGATTATTGTTGATGATAACGCCGAGCAACGACAGAATTAGTATCACTAAACGTAGGTGTATTGAATGAATGTTGTGTCGCGGTGGATGTTATTAGTTAGCACCGTGTTGAATTGTTTCTTTAATTTGTTGTGAGATGAAGCACCAGCAGGAAAATTGCAAACGACTGCCGAGACGAACGGAACAAAGTCAGTTGGCCCCGACGGCCATTTTATCACTGCTTCTTTCGTGCGAGCGAAAACATGTTCTGCTGGATAATATGGAGGGGCGCGCGTTGCGCCGCTGTGCTCGAATCCTCTCCCTACGCAAGCTGTACCGATCGTGTCGTGCCAAACAATAACAAACGGATTGCTTCGTTTAGTAGACATATTTTTGCAAAATATTGGCTGGTAAACGAGCAAAATATGAATGAATAACTGATACAATATATAAAACAAATAAATTGTTAAATTTGTTGATTTTGAAAATTAACGCATTGTTTATTTATGCTTCATATTATGTTATTATTTTTTTAATCCCATATATTCTTAATTTATCATTCAATAAACGTTATTTATCTTTAAATTATGAAATTTTTAATAAAATTTATAAAGAAATCATGCCCACAGCGCCATCTATATTCAGGTTGTTCAAACTAAGTAGAACGTCACATTGTCATATGATTGAACTCTTTATTAAACCGGCATTTTTTCAATTAAACTCTTAAATCTATCTAAAACTATAGTATTTGTACAATAACAATGATCTAAATCATAGGGTGGTTCTATGATTAAATGGTCCTGAAACTTGAGGGCTTCTCCATCTTCAACAACATCAATTAAATTAAGCTTCAACCAATCTTTGAGTTTTTTCTTCTTTTCTTGGAGATCTTGTATGCTGTAGCTTTGGCACCTCTTTTCACTAAAAATGTTTATTTCACCTATGTCCTGTGTGGTATCAATTTGTATGTTCTTGATTGTAGGTGCTGTGATGATAATCAGATCACCAGAACTATGTTCAGTCTTCTGTGTGGTTAGAACCACAGATTTGCTTTCTGGATCCACAACGTAAATATATCCAACGTGGGTTTTGTTGTCCACTGTTTGGATTGTTGCATGTTTTCCGATGAATTTTCTTTTCGAGATCTCTTCGGCACTTTTATACATTTTAATTTTGATCACAGAATGTATAAGATACGAGCAATGTATACAAACATGCCAGAGGCAGAAAATGTTAAAATAGTCATGGTAGCGTCATCTGTTGGTGGTTTGTGTAACTTTTGAACCAATTGTATGATTCAAATTCCAAATAATTATGGCACTTTATTAACAAAATTCGTTATGTTTTGTTTATTTTTTATTATGTAATATTATTAGTCCTATAACTACCTAGCAATAACACAACATTCCTAAACGTGGATGATAAGAAATTGTATATTTTATATCATTACTAGAATTCGAGACAATCATTACGGTGAATCAACATGAATTTGTAAAATGCGTTCCATTTTTTGTTTATTTTGAGTCCCAGAATGATAATGTTTAAAAGCCTGATCAAAATAATAGTCATGATACCATCTGCGCGCTTAGTGGTTATAAAATGATTTGCAAAATAGCACGTACTTGATAGATGATGATGAATGAAACAATCGATAATATTAATCTCAGATTGGAGTATTTTTTAGTTATGCCACCTTTAATATATTAAATTATGTCTGTAATTTATCTTAAATTCCCGCATTCTGAGTCACTACATTCTGAAATAATGATAACAATTTAAAATACTTACTTTACTTAAGTAAATTATACTTGTAAATGCTTATAGATTAAAAAATTGTTTCTTGTTTTTTAACAATGCCATAAATCATTGAGCATAATAGTAGGTAACAGAATTTGTATAATAACATAATTCGGAAAATCTAAAACATTATAAACAAATATTAAAATAAAATAAAAATATATTTGTATCACATGGCAAAACGGCAGTTTTACTCACGAGATTGATTCTGAGCGAACTTAGCGAGCGTTTAATCAATCAAGTGTTTAACATCGTTTACCCACGAGATGCTTACGCTATTTTTTCTACTTCCACTCTAGTTTTGCGTTGATGTTTTTGTGTTTTGCATTTCACATAGTCTCTGAAAAATACTTTAGTCACGGCCTTGCCAGTCCGTGTTTAAAGTCCCACTATTTGTGTCTTAAAACGCTTTAAAGGTGAAAGTAGAAAAAATATATGATTTGTTTAGCATCTTCCTAAAAGTATATTTATCGATAAAACAGCCTATTGATATTTTTGTGTGTTTCTTATGACTTTATTTAGTCATGCTGATAATGATACATAGATAAAGTAATGATGTTTTAAATGCCAAGAAAGGAATTTTGTCAAATCATCTATGTAAAACATTTTTGCAATCCAATTTCTCACAACTGAAGTGAATAATAAGAGAAAATCCTCTAGAGTCTAGCTTATTGTAAGTAGCCCAGAAACCAGTGATTGAGTTCCGGTATAAATATCACCCATACCAATTTACAAAGCTTTTATAAAAACGCAACCATCCATACATTTGTGTTTATTTATGCTTGCAACAATTCAAAAACCTCAAAATTATAACATTTTCCCAATGAAATATTTAAAACAACGTACAAATATGCTAATAACTGTTTAAAGTTAAAATGCGCATTAACCTTAAAACTTTTAAACCCAAAAACCTAAAAAATACTTTTACTTAAAAAAAGTCGATATACTCATATAAGGTACTAAGAGCATTGCGCATTATCAACGTGACTAGCTTAACCCGTGAAAAAAAAACAACAATATATAGATACATACATTACACACATTTCTATAGTAGTATCGATGCTGGATTGTTGTGTTTAATGCTCATAATGCTCTTATCTCCAATAATATTCGTTATCGATGAGATGGCATTCTTTCCTGGAGAGTGATAATTAACACGTCAACGATTATCTCACAGATATCAGTGAGAGCTTGGCGCAATTCTGCTTCAGTTCACAAATCGACACCGGCTGGATGGTTGATATCGATATCACTAATTACTAATTATTTCAATTAATTTAGTTCAGTTACTGTGATTCAAGAATTACATTGCGACAAAATTGCAACAATTAAATCAGGTAAGTTTTAAAATAGATTTAAGTCAATTTAAAAACATTTAATCCAAAAATAAGCATAATGTAAGCATCTACAGGTAAAAATACATAAATTAAGTAAACGATAATCGCAAAATCGATTATGTCATTCGTCAACCATGTGACGCAAATGGATTTTTTTCTGTTGGGTGTAAATTTTATTAACGTTGCTAATGGTAACCACCAAATGTAACTTTTACAATGTTTATTATGTCAAACATTTTGTTATTATCTACTTATACATCGAAGAATATCAAAAAGTTAAGTTTTACACACTCTATTCTCTTTTTTACCAAAGAATGTCTTTATTTAATTATGATTGTCTAAACATTTGTAACTATGTTTAGTATGTAAATCGATAAAGTATGTTTATTGATTTTTCGCTAACGTGGGAGCCTCTACACAAGTTCAATTTCATTGCTACCCTCAGTACCTCTCGTTTTCGTCATTTGCGTTCACCAACTCGAAGTATTAACAACAACCAAAGTGTCACACGTAGTTCAAAGACCGCGTTTGCAATGTAGCAAAAAATAATTCGCATAACAACCATGGATAACAAGTAATGTTTGCGATGTGAGGTGCAATTTGTTATTTATTTGCGTTAATTTATTATAAACGTCGAAACAATCAATGATAACCGAAGTCACAACGTCGTTATCGATACATCATACATCACATGTGGCAATGACTAGTATTTCTTGGTCGAGACCCAATAACTCGAAATAATTTTATCATCGCACGGCATGCGTCAAGGTACAATTCGGTAAAAGGTTTTAAACTCGTGAATAGAGCTCATCGATTGTGCGTTGTAATCGATATAATTTATTGGGCGATTTCTAGACTCGCTAGATTCGCTAATGGCGCAATTTATCTGCGGCTTATCGCGATTTTTAGGATAAAGCTCTGTCATATTACTCGAGTACTAAATATGTTCGTTTTTTTTAGGTGACGCGTACAATTGGTAAACCGTCGAGATGAAGGAGTGAATTTGGCCATGAAGGCCCTGACGAAAAGGATGATCCACTCAGTCCGTAAGTACCATAATATATGTAGTTTTATGTAGGCAACACGCTTTTGCATTTTATAGTATGAAACACAGTTTTACGGTTATATTTTTTAAACTGCAACCAGATTTTAGTGTGTTTTTATTTAAGAGACAGGTAATTAAAATTGGAAAGTTTATATATTTATTACAAAACATATTAAACATATTAAACATATTAAACTTAAGAACAGTCGAGAATTTTAACGATTTTTAAATGCAAGTAACGTAAAACATATTTTTGTGAAGGTGTTTATTGCAAATATTGGCTAAAGTTTATGAGATAAGGTAAAAGCCATTTCAAGAGAAATGAGTATATCATAAAAGATCTACAAAAAGTCCATGGTGACACATATACATCTATCTTCTAAAAAGGATAACTCACGGTAATCGTTTTTATCATTTTTAAATCGCAAAAGTATTCTATTATTTCCAAAACTGTTTTAAACAATACGGTATTATTGTAATATACGGTATACGAGTAATAATACAGTAATATACATTTAATGTAAGAAGGAAATTTGTCGTTTACAGCATATCTAAATAATAAATATCTTAAAAAGATGTAAGAGTTTTAAAAATTCAATAACAGAACAGTTTTGTCTTGGCCCTATCACATGAAAATTTGAGGAGGCCCCAATGATTTTAAGGTTTCAGGGAAAGATAAGGCAGGAGGTTGGGAGGTTGCGTCCCCCATGGCCCCACTTCACTGGTAAATATACACAATAAAACATTTAGGAATCCCATAGAGGGTAAGCGGCTCAAAATCATTTTACACATACGGTTTCGCTATGGCACCGCCCTGGACAAATTTTAGCTTCATGGAACAGTATCAGCCGTTTGCAATGCGGCTGTATGCCAGCTCCCGCTATGAATATGTTGTTATTTGTGATTTGGCGGCGACATGATTGAATACGCACAAGCAACTTTGAAATCCGATGCAGACATGGACAAAGCTCGCGATAAACTGGAAGACGCCATCATATGGTTCGTGATTTACAATTGTGCCATTGGTGTAGGCATGTTGGTCTTCAGCTACATATCAACACTTCTGTTTAATTACACCGGTATTCGCCAGAGTTTTCGAATTCGGTCGCTTTATTTGGAGCGTGTACTAACCAGGATGTCAGTTGGTATGATGTGCATCAATCTGGAGATTTTGCCAGTCGTATGGGAGAGTAAGTTTTAAAACAATCAAATTTAAAAACAAAAAAATCATTTTTATTAATTACAGTGACCTGTTGAAATTGGAAGAAGGTATTGGAGAGAAAGTCGTCATGTTTTTGCATTTCCAACTGTCGTTTGTTGGTTGTCTGGTGATGGCGTTGATCAAGGGATGGGAATTGGCATTGATTTGTTTGATCTCTTTACCAGTTACAATGATTTCCATGGGTATTGTCGCATATGTAAGTAAAAATTTACTTCCCTAAAGTAATTTATCTAATTTTGACTGTTTTATTACGCAGTTGACTTCGAAATTATCCAAAAACGAATTGGAAGCCTACGGACAAGCGGGTACCATTGCCGAAGAAGTTTTCAGCATAGTCCGAACAGTCTTGGCGTTTGGTGGTCAAAAAGGAACAAGATCGTTATGAAAACATTTAGTTTTTGCTAGAGACAACAACATTAGACGTTCTATGTTGACCGGTATTGGTTTCGGTATTTTGTGGTTCTGCATCTATGCTAGTTACGCTCTTGCTTTCTGGTATGGCGTGGGTCTTATCATCGATGAAAGAAAAGAAATTGCAGATCCAGAAAAACGCACTTACACACCAGCCAACATGGTTACAGTGTTCTTCAGCGCGTGATGTCGGGCAGCATGAATTTCGGCATGTCTTCTCTACATTGAAGTATTCGTGGCGTGGCACGTGGTGCGGCCGCTAAAATCTTCAGAGTCATCGACGCCATCCCAAAAATTAACTCCTCCAAAGGCAAGGGTGTACAACCTGATAAATTCGAGGGAAATATCGTCTTTGAAGATATTAAATTTAACTATCCGTCAAGACCTGATGTGGAGGTAATACATTAATTAAATATTTTTTCATAAAAATTAGTGTTAATGTTAATATTTGTAGATTTTGAGAGGTTTGAATTTGACAATCAAAGCTGGTCAGACTGTGGCGTTGGTAGGAAGTTCCGGATGTGGAAAATCAACCTGTATCCAACTGATTCAAAGATTCTACGATCCGGATGTAGGCACTGTGTATTTAGATGGTCAAGATCTGACAACTTTAGATCTATCTCTTTTGAGGAGCAACATTGGCGTGGTTGGACAGGAACCTGTCCTCTTTGGTACCACAATCGCAGAAAACATTCGTTATGGCTACAAATGGGCCACAATGGAAGACATTGAACGTGCAGCAAAGAAATCCAACGCGCATAAGTTTATCTCTGCCCTTCCGGAAGGATACAATACAATGGTGGGCGAACGCGGTGCTCAGCTTTCCGGTGGACAGAAACAACGCATTGCTATTGCGCGTGCGCTTGTTCGGGAACCCAGTATTCTACTTTTGGATGAAGCCACTTCAGCTTTGGACACCAACAGCGAGGCCAAAGTGCAAGCAGCTTTAGATAACGTAAAACACTCATTAATTCAATACAATCTGATAATTAAACGAATTCAATTTGCAGGCGAGTAAGGATTGCACAACCATCATCATTGCTCATCGCTTATCAACCATCCGTGGCGCCAACCGTATTGTCGTGATCAAGGAAGGTCAAGCTGTCGAAGATGGAACACATGCTGAACTCATGGCTCTGCAAAAGGAATACTATCATTTAGTAACAAACCAAGTGGCTACAGTTGACGAAGATGATAATCAAGTTGTTGCTATTGATGAAACTGAAGAAGACGACGTTACGCCTGATCACTCTGGTCCCCGAGAAGTTGAAGAAGAAGATGCTCTTATTAAGGATGTTTCTCTTATGAAGGTCATAAGTTTAAACAAACCAGAATTGCTGCAGATTGTTATCGGTGTTATAGCCTCTGCGTTTATGGGTTTCGCTATGCCAATCTTTGCAGTTCTCTTCGGTGATATTCTCGGTGTGCTGCAATATGAAAACGAAAAGAAAATCCGTGATGAAACTGACATTTACTGTATTTACTTCGTTGCTGCTGGAGTTGGTGCTGGAGTTGCAACATTCTTACAGATTTACATGTTTGGAGACGCTGGCGAAAAGCTTGTGATGCGAATCAGAAGTCAGATGTTTGGCGCGATGTTAAAACAGGAAATTGGATGGTACGATAGGAAAGAGAATGGCGTCGGTGCGCTTTGTGCAAAGTTATCGAGTGAAGCAGCAAACATTCAAGGTGCGACTGGTCAGCGTATTGGTACCATTTTCCAATCGATTGCTACTTTGGCTCTTTCGCTTGGTTTGTCGATGTATTACGAATGGCGTCTGGGATTACTGGCGTTAGCTTTTGCTCCGATTATTATGGTATCTGTATTCCTACAGCAAAAGATGATGATGAATGAAACAGCTGGTTACAGAAAAAGTTTGGAGAATTCGACAAAACTTGCAGTGGAAGCGGTGTCACAAATTAGAACTGTTGCTTCTTTGGGTAACGAATCTACTTTCCATGGAAAATATGTCGAGGAGTTGTTACCGTACATTAAAAAGGCGAAATTCAACACACATTACCGAGCTGGAGTTTTGAGTATTGCCAGAAGTATTATGTTCTTTGCGTTTGCGGCTTGTATGTATTACGGAGGATATCTGATTCGTACAGATGACTTATCATACGAAAAGTCTTAAAGTAAGTTTAACCTAAAATTTTCTTTTGTTTTATCTAATTTTGCTGAATCTTTTAGAGTTACACAGTCTTTGATTATGGGTACAATTACAATTGCCAACGCTTTGGCTTTTACACCAAATTTCCAAAAGGGTTTGATGGCTGCATCTAAAGTATTCCAACTGCTGAAAAGAGAACCCAAAGTCCAAGATCCCACTAATCCTATCGTTGCGGATTCATATTATGGCGATATTAACTATTCCTCTATCGAGTTCAAGTACCCAACGCGTCCAGATATGAAAATTCTACGCGGGTTGAATTTGCTCGTGGGGCGTGGTAAGACCATCGCACTTGTGGGTCCCAGCGGCTGTGGAAAGTCCACCATCATTCAATTGATTGAACGATTCTACGATCCTACCTCCGGCACTGTGTCCATTAACAACAAGGATGTGAAATCGATTACTCTCGCTGATTTACGTGCAAATCTGGGTATTGTATCACAAGAACCCAACTTGTTTGATCGTACCATTGGTGAAAACATCGCTTACGGAGATAATTCTCGGGAAGTGACCGAAGCGGAAGTTATCGAAGCCGCGAAGCAAGCTAATGTGCACAACTTTATTGTTGGATTGCCTTTGGTAAGTATTAATATATCATCAAGTGATTAATTATTATTTTTAATGTGAATTATGTTTGTGTAGGGTTATAGTACACCTCTGGGTGACAAGGGGACTCAATTATCTGGAGGTCAAAAACAGCGGGTGGCAATTGCACGTGCATTGGTGAGAAACCCACAAATTTTATTGCTTGATGAAGCCACTTCTGCTTTGGACACCGAGAGTGAAAAGGTGGGAATTAATTAATTTAATTGTTTGAATTAATATTAATTACTGACTTTTTTTGTAAACAGATTGTGCAAGAAGCCCTGGACAAAGCGAAAGAAGGACGTACTTGCATTACGATTGCTCATCGTTTGTCCACGATTCAAAACGCAGATGTAATTTGTGTGATTAACGAAGGGGTTGTACATGAATTGGGAACGCATACGCAGCTTCTGGCCCAGAAGGGCATGTACTATAATTTGCACAGAATACAAAATGGCAAACGTTGAATACCCACCATGAGGTTCATATAAAAAGTGATTTGTGATGTTTGTTCCTATTTGCACCAGGTGTGCCAGTGTGCATACTAGTGTATTTGAATGTTTGTGACATATTTATTGTTATGCTATTGTTATAGGTACACATATATAAATATATCTTCTGTAGATAATTGTTTATTGTACATGATTTACATGATTTATACCGACCCTTGAGCGCGATGTGAACCAAAAACTGGGAAGGAGAAGAGTTTAGAAACCGGTAGGCTGTAGCCTACCCGTAAAAAGTGGTGGGGGAAGGTGCGCTTGTTGAGTGGAAAGTTCCAGTGTTCATTTTATTATTTTTTTAAAACAATATAAATATTCGATGTCAAATCTTAAGTCTATATAATGCTGATATTCTGTTAATCAATTGAATTTCATTGTGTTCACTAAATAATGATTAAAGAGTTATTTTGTGAACGATTGATTCCAAACGTCGTTGGTTTTGTCTGTGGAGAACGTTTCACTCGACCCTTTATGTTTAATAGTTGTATATTTGACGTGTCTATTCAATATATGTTGAGATAATCATATAATAAAGCAGTAAAACTGCTTCTAAAGTCGATAAACCAAATCCTAGTGCATCATTTCAGTTCCTTGCGAAATAAACTACGTAACCCAACTTTAAACAGCTGACTTTGTTTGATATTTTGTGTAGTGGTTTCACCTGTTAACACTTGGCAAAACACATTTATACATATCATGATAACAACCCAATTGTTTTGTTTTCTTTTACTGAATTAACATTAAAACATAAATTCACTAAAATGTCCACGAGTGCATCGTCTAACGCATATTTAGAATTATCTGAAAACCCCGTGCGTTTTGAAGCAGTAAATCAAGTCACAAATGTTTTCTTTGATGACTCAAATAAGCAAGTAAGTAATACATCAAAAATAGTAATTTAAACAATTCTAAACAAAAATAATTTGCAAGGTTTTTGCTGTACGTTCGGGTGGAGTAATGGGCGTTGTGGTGAAAGGTCCAAATGAAAACACAAAACCAATCAACTTTCGAATGGAAGATCATGGGCCAGTTATCTCCATTAAATTCTCTCTGGATCAGAAGATTTTGGCAGTGCAAAGAACAACAACTTCAGTGGAATTCATGAATTTCAATAGCATGACAGTAGAAACAGAGTACAGCCAACAATGCAAGAAAAACTCAGCAATTGTGGGCTTTGTATGGTCACAGAACAATGAAGTTGCATTCATGACTGACCATAGTGTGGAACTCTATCTTGTGATACCAGAGAAACGCTCTCTAAAGCATCTTAAAACATTATCAGTTACCATTCAATGGTTTGTGTGGTGTTCAGTGAGTAAAACAGCACTTTTGGCATCTGCACAAGGATCACATCTGCAACCAGTTGTGTTTAAACCTGGTTCTATTAGTAAACTACCAAAAGTTGAAAGTAAACAATGAATTAATTAAGTGTATAATTTAAATACAAATTGTTTTTGTTTAAATAGCTGAACCTGGGCGCATGGCATTAGAAAGAGATGTGACATTATCAACTCTATATGGGGTTTTATCAGTGCTGATTCTTAGACATCAGAGTGGTGTACAAACTGCAGAGGTTCATATTCATACTTTGAATGGATTGGGCCAAGCTCCAGTGAAAAGTCATGTGTTAAAGCTGGGCTTAACCGGACGATTTGCTATTAATATTGTGGACAACTTAGTTTTAATTCATCATCAGGTAATTTTCAAGTATCAGAAGAGGTTTTTATAGTTAAACATTTAATTTAAAGGCTTCCAGAAGTTCCTTGGTATTTGATATTGCATTACCAATTGAAAGTGATGGAAATGTCACTTACCACACGCCAATTGCACCAGCACGATCATTAAAACCCGCTACGTTGTCTGTGCCAGGTTTGGTTGAACCACAGACTCATGTTTGTGAACTTTGTAAGTAAAAACATCCAAAAGTTTAATAAATTAATTCGTTTTGATGCTTTGTATTTCAGATTCGCCTAATTGGGTTGTATTCCAACCAAATATCGTAATTGATGCAAAACTTGGTTGTTTATGGCATTTAAACTTATGTCTACGCGAACTTTGTCAGCAAATTCAGGATTTGGGTATTTGTGCACAATTGATATTAAAAAGAGAAGGCGGAAAAGATGTTCTGTTAGAAGTAAAGTTTTAAAAATGTTGCATACATGTGCATAAAGTGTTCAATTGTGTCTTTTTTAGGTTTTATTGTTAACAATTAAACAAGACCGACCACCGTTGAAGAAAATCCGCGAGTTCTTCAATCACATAAACCATGTCTACCGCGCATGGGCAGAAGGCGAGCTAACCAGTCAAATTGCATCGCCGGCGAATGCGCCGATTAATTCCAAGCAGGCTTGCAAACCACCAGTGCTAATTGAACAAATTGATATTTATAATAATATCCTACAACAGTTGGATAAGGATGAGCAATTTGAGAAACTAGAATGGATTTTAATCGCATTTGTCACATCTTTATCCGAATATTCCATACCTGCTCAACATAATATCAACGAAATGTTATTAACAACTCTGGTAAGACTAAAAATTACCATTTTAATAATTAAATAAATAACAATTTATAATATTCAGGTGCGAAGAAAGAAGTTTTCTTCATTGCAACAACTTTTGCAATATGGCGTCGTGTCTGATTCCAAACCACTGGCATGTCTTTTACTTTCATTGGGAAATGTTCATCCAGCAGCTTCACAACTTGCTTTAGATATGTTGATGCGATTAAGTAAGAAAATATTACTTTTTCTGTTAATGAGATGTATGTATTATTTTTAAATTGTAGATGCTGTGGAGGAGATTCAAGAGGTTTTGTTAAGTCAAGGACAATTGCTGTCTGCGTTAAAACTGGGCAATGATAATGTCAGTGTGCGGAAATTCTTGGATGCTGCCAAGACGTCTGGTGATCCAGCTTTGTTTCATAGTGCATTGCACTATTTCAAGTCTAATCCTCATTTTTCCAAGGCATGGGAAGGTAAATAGTAATAGAATATTAAACTACACTTGTGAAATTATAGAAAATCAAGCAATGAAACTTAATTTTATTTTATAGATGAACGACTTGGAGAATACGCTGTTATGTATGAGAGCCTATTTAATTAATTGACTGTAATGTAATAATATGTATCTATTGTTGTTATAAAAATATACTTATTATGTTATGTTTTATTTCTTACTTAGATTTTGATACATATGCATTTATTGCATCGACTTGCAGGAGTTTTATTGGGCAAGTTGTGATGTGCGAAGTATAAAACAGTGAAAAGTTAATTGTGACAATGATTTGCAAAATATTTTGTGTTTTCGTTTCGCTTCACGAAAAGTTTTCGCGAGTCATTTTAGTCAATATCCCAGTGTCGCCATCTATGGTCATTTTCATTCGCGTAGAAATTTATACATTGTTGTAAAGATTGCAACAAGTTGTCATACAAATAATATCGTATTCTAATCGTAATAATAAAAATAAAACAATCGCTTTGTTTCATTACATGTCATGTATATACAATTAAATTGTTTGACAAATAATTTATTTTAATCTTTTATAAGTATTTTTTTCGTTTTAGATCAATTCAAACTAATTTCTAAATATAAATTCACCAAACCTAGCCAAAACCACGTGCAGCAATCGAATAAATTCTAATTGTCATGTTGGTGGCTAGTCGCTCAAAATCAGTTTTCACCAATGTGAAAGAATCCAAGCGTTTGTTCTGCCTGCGCCGCGTATTCGAAGAAACCCGACAAGCCCAACGTCTGCGCCATCCATCAGCTTCATTCATCACCCCACAGAACGAGCAGCAAGGCGAGCAACGGTTTCCTCGTGCTCGCAAAACGCCGATCCCACCGATTGTACCGTTAGCAGCGCCGCTCACCCCGCTCGCCGGCCGGTTAGCATCGTCGCCGTTGCTCGTCGCCGCGACTCGCCCGTGGTGCGCGCCTTCGGTTCAGTCGGTTGCCGTGTCAGTGTTGTTTTTGGGGCGCCGCGCCGATCGCTACACGAGCGCGCACAGCAGTCGGCGAGCCATTGGCAGCAGCGACGGTGCCATACGAGAGTACTCAACGATCGCGCAGCAAACCCCAGCGACGCACATCATGCCCGAGACGACGAAACCCTTCGAGCGCCTGCCGGCGACGGTACAGGCCAAACACTACAAGCTCTGCATCACGCCGAATCTCAAGACATTCGCCTTCGACGGCGAGGTGGACATTCAGCTTGAGGTAGGTTACTTTCTCTCCACGGTCTGCGCACAACATATGCCGGCCTTGTGCATATACGCCACGGCACGCTTTCGCCGCTAGTCGCAACTCGCGGCACTCAACGTGCCTCTCACACTTTCGCTGCAATGCTCTTGATACATCATATATGATCGACCATTTTATCTTATCACACAAAAACCTCTGTTTGTAGACTTTGGGCTTGGGGTGATCACCCACAGTAACAAACTGCTTTACTAAGTAATATAAATTACATATTCTCGTATTTATTCTAGATTCTCAGCCCAACAAATAAAATTATCTTAAATGCGCTCGACTTGGCAATCAACAAAGTCCTCATCGTCGGGCCCTCGAAAAATACTTTATCACCGAAGGCGATAAACATATCCGTGGAAAATGAGACGGCTGAGATACTACTCGAAGAACCACTTGCGACAGGTTCCTGGAGCATGCATATGGAATTCACAGGCGAAATCAATGATAAAATGAAGGGTTTATACCGCAGCAAGTATGTGAATGAGCAGGGAGAAGATCAGTACGCTGCTGTCACGCAGTTTGAATCCACAGACGCTCGCAGGTGTTTCCCCTGTTGGGATGAACCGGCATGCAAAGCCACTTTTGACATCTCTCTGATTGTACCACCGAAACTTGTCGCGCTTTCAAATATGCCCGTTAAAACCATGAATCCCTGCGGGGATCTGCTCAGATATGATTTCGAAACCACTCCGATCATGTCTACATACTTGGTGGCTGCCGTTGTGGGCGAATATGATTATGTTGAAGATAGGTCTACTGATGGAGTGTTAGTTCGTGTTTACACACCTAGAGGGAAGAAGGAACAAGGGCAGTTTGCTCTGGAGGTTGCTACCAAAGTGTTGCCATATTATAAAGAGTATTTTAATATTGCTTATCCGCTGCCGAAGATTGATTTGATTGCCATTGCGGACTTCAGTGCTGGTGCTATGGAAAACTGGGGGCTTGTTACTTACAGGTATGCAAAAAATACGTTTGCATGAATAGCAAATATTCTAAATTTAGTTTTTGGACGAATATCAATTTATGTTTTTTTTTATGTGTTAGGGAAACATGTTTGTTAGTTGACCCGCAAAACACATCAGCAGTCCGTAAACAATGGATTGCTTTGGTCGTTGGACACGAACTCGCACATCAGTGGTTCGGTAATTTGGTCACCATGGAATGGTGGACGCATCTGTGGCTGAATGAAGGCTATGCTTCGTTTGTGGAGTTCCTTTGCGTTAATCATCTGTTCCCAAGTACGATATCTGGACACAGTTCGTCACAGATATCTATATCCGCGCGCTCGAACTCGATTGTCTCCGCAATTCGCATCCGATTGAAGTACCTGTTGGTCACCCATCTGAAATCGATGAAATCTTCGATGATATCAGCTACAACAAAGGTGCGTCTGTTATCCGCATGTTGCACCACTACATCGGAGACGAGGATTTCCGCAAGGGCATGAATCTGTACTTGACCAGACATCAGTACAAGAATACATTCACAGAAGATCTCTGGGGTGCTTTGGAAGAAGCCAGCAAGAAACCAGTTGGTGATGTTATGTCTACCTGGACCAAACAGATGGGTTTCCCTGTTGTGAAGGTATCTTATGCTAATGCGGCTGATGGGAAAGGTTGCACGCTTGCTTTGGAACAGAGCAAGTACTGCGCAGATGGTGTTCATCCAAAGGAGGAGTATTTGTGGATGATTCCGATCTCTGTTTCCACTTCGAAGAATCCAGGCGTGGAAACGGCGAGCACTGTCTTGAAGACAAAGACAGGAGAGCTCTTTGTACCTGATGTGGGGCCGAATGATTGGATCAAAGTAAACCCGGGAACCATTGGGTACTACAGGACGCAGTATCCGGTTGAGATGTTGGAAAGATTGGAGCCGGCTATTCGCGATCGTAGTCTGCCGCCTTTGGATCGTCTTGGATTGTTGGATGAATTGTTTGCCATGGTTCAAGCTGGGCATACCAGTACCGTAGAGGTGTTGAAACTGATGAAGGCTTTTGAGGCGGAGGATAACTACACTGTCTGGTCGTCTATTACCAACATTTTGGCGAAGATCAGTGTTTTGTTGTCGCATACCGATTGTGCAGATGCTTTCAGAAAGGTATTTTTAGTTTAATTAAGTTAAATTTCTGTATGACTTATAATTTTATTGATTTAGTATGAGAGGGATTTGTTATCACAAATCTCCAAGAGATTGGGCTGGAACCCATCGCCAGATGAGAGTCATCTGGACACATTGCTGCGCGGTTTAGTACTTGGACGTTTGGCGTGGTTAGATGACGAAACTACTATCGCCGAGGCAAAGAAACGTTTTGCTACTCACATTGGAAATGGACCAACGTTACCTGCTGATCTTCGCAGCGCTTGTTACAAAGCTGTGCTTCGTGCTGGTGGTGCTGAAACATATGACACCATGTTGAAGCTCTACAGATCCGCAGATCTGCATGAGGAGAAAGATCGTATTAGTCGTGCTCTTGGTGCTAGCAAAGATGTCAGCCAGTTGGCGAAAGTTCTAGAGTTTGCCATGTCTGTAAGTGCTTAAATTTATTTTTAACAGAATAGAAAGTCATATAAATTTGTAATTTGTTTATGATTTTTAGGAGGAAGTAAGATCCCAGGATACAGTTTTCGTCATCATGTCTGTAGCGATGACACCCCCGGGCCGTAAACTTGCCTGGCAGTTCTTCAAAGATAACTGGAAGGTTCTGATCGATCGCTACCAGGGTGGTTTCCTCATGGCGCGACTCGTCAAGTTCACAACCGAGAATTTCGCAAGCGAGGAATTGGCCACTGAAGTGGAGCAGTTCTTCAAAGATCACAAATCGCCGGGTACTGAGAGAACCGTTCAGCAAGCAGTGGAAACTATCAGGTTGAATGCCGCCTGGCTGGATAGAGACACAGCGGCCATCAAGGCTTACCTGTCCGCATAAGCGGCGTGTAAGGACTTTCTTTACACATAATGAAAATATGCCAGTGATTGATTGTATGGTTGGTTCTTGCTTGAACATGCCAGTGCAAATGTTTTGTGTGTTTCTTTACAGGCAGAAGTGGGTAGAAATTCTTGTGCATTTGATGAGAGATGATTTTCATAAATTTTATATACATACATACAAATTATTATGGTAAAACACAATATGTACTTAATGATTTATTATTCTATTTGTGAATATACCTGTTAGATGGTAAACCAACTGGTGTGTGTTTTGTTTCGCCAGGGATTATGACATATTTTATTGTAACAGGTTTATTATTGTTGAAACAAAATTATTTGTGTTCAGTTTGCCTACCTTTAAAAGGGAAACACTTGTAAAGGAAACCGTCATCACTTCATTTGTTCAGCGCGCGTGGGTCGTTTAATTAACATGATCCAGTGCATGTATAAGCTTAAGTATACAAAGTTAAACCACAGTAAAGTCGGTGAATTCTTCGCTCGAGTGTCGCACAGTTGCCGATTATTTATAAACACGCGTACGTTAAATGTGCTGATATTCTAGAAATTTCCACACGGCGCATGCGTACTGCGCGCGTGCATTGCGTCTTCTTTTATTATTAGTCATCAGTATTTGTGTTTTGGAGTCGAGCGCAGCACGGACAGAACGTAAACATCTTGATTTTTTTTGGTAATCATCAAAACGATTTACGCGGTATTTGCATCGTACGATTTACGTTTGTCATCTATAAATCGCACCGAGGAAGTAGAGCCCACGCGGTCGCCGTGCGAAATATGCAATTCACATCTCGAGACACACGTAAGTTTGGCATGCGAAAACAATCCATCCGTCAATCCTTGACCCGAATTTATCGCTCGCGTTTTGTGTTGTGTGTTAATTGTAATTGCTATGTAACTGTGTCTTTTTAGTCAATTTGTCAATATGTCTGACGAGCCAGTCGTAGTGCAAGCGTTTGAGAAACTCGAACTGGAAACAGCCTCATCCAGCACCAGCAGCAGCACTAGGAAACCTATCACCACCCCAGAGACAGTACCAAATCCATTTATGAGGCGCAAGAGGTCCAAGTCGCTCTCCAGCATCAACATCTTCAGCACAACTGCATGCACATGCAAACACCACATCAATCGAGTGAAAAACACCACCAGCTTCAAGCGGAACATCAATAAGAAGATACTCAAAGAGCCTGTGCTAAAAATACTAAACAAATGTTCCAAATGTAATTGTGTGAAGAAGTCGGCTCAGAATAAGGATGAGCAAAGACTTAAGTTGGAGAAGTTGTTTGGAGATTGTGCTGCTGAGGGGCAAGAGACTGATTTTAGGAGCATTGTTGATGGCTGCCAGCAGCTGAGTCTAGCAAATGCCAATGATGGGGTGCAGGACTATTCATTGCCAAGTTTTAAATCAGTTCGAACATCTAAGAGTGGTGCGTCTACGTCGAGAACGGAAAAAACGGACAGCTCGAATGTGAACGCGTCATGCTCGCATCAAGCGCGTATGTCTCCGCCGTGTGACGTGACCATTGACGAATTGGCCAGTTATTTTGAGACGTTTGTGCATATTCCGAAAAAGATGAGTTCGATGGCGGAGATGATGTATACATAAAGCTATACATTATGTTGTATTATACACTGTTCTAATTCATTATATACATATGTTTAATGACATTTGAATTAACATGGATTTAGATTTAGAATGATGCGCATAAGTGTAGTATAGATGTTGAAAAATAAGTACAACTTGATTTAAGTTCTGTTTAAACAATTATACTACACTTATTCTGATAAATGCATAAAAATCTGTGAATTCGTTTGTTAGAGTTTTTGACTTAGAAGACTAGATAATTTAATGGCCACAAAACAATTGCAAGACACGAGCCAAAACATATTTATCTGGAAATTTAAAGAATTAATGTTTTTTTCGCTTCTGTTTGGATGTTTATATGATTTTTATTGTTTTGTAAGAAAGAAAACATACAATTCCAAGTAAAAAATTTGTTGAGACAACGAAAACTATTAGCAATATAAGTCAAATTTAGAAATATTTGAATGTGATTATTAATTTCTACAAAATTGCAATTTGATAAAGAATTCCAGACTTGTGAGGCCTGTGGCTCATGCAATAATAATGAAAACTTGTCACTTGAATCTGAAATGTGGATACTGTTAGTGTTGTATGTACATAACAAAATTAACTCTTGTGAGAATCACGAACGCGCCCAGGAGAAAGTGCTCAGTCATTAAAAAGGCAAGAATGTAATCGCTGCAGTGTAATAGTATGTAAGTTCTTACTTTTGGCTGCTTGAATGTACGCTCCTACTCATCGGAAAATTTGCCATCGTTGTCTTTGCATTGCCGTTTGATTTCCGAACGTGGTTTGAATTAAATTATTACCATCTGAGTTATGAAACTTGTTAAAATTCGAATACTTGAATTAATAAAACCGAATATGTAGATAATTATTTTCTTATAATCCTAACCAAGGTTATAATCTAATCTCAAAATCGAGTGTGAGTTAATGTTTGTCTTTTATTGTTCCGGTAGTATGTTATTTATGCCTACTTTGGTTTTAACAATTCAAAAATATTAATATTGGCGCATTTATATATTTGTCCGGATGTTAGATAACATATGCCGTGACCTTCTTTTATTAGTGATTCTATTGGCAAAATTTACGTCAAACTTTTGCAAATAATTGATTCATTTTATTCTAATGTTTTAATCATTGATAAGTATCAAACTCGCCTATTACAAATAATTAATTAATAAATACAATAATTAATTACGTAATATGATATATTGTAATTGAATACTTAGATTAATGATATCGTAATAAATTAATTTGAATGACGCATGATACGCATGCGCCATCCGAATTTGTACTCGCGCGCCTCTGGCGTGTCAATTTGTAAAGTGAAGTAGCATTTGTTGACTTGTTTAGTCTGCTGGCGTCCTTTGCGGTTTGGTGCGCGGACTTCGAACGTCTTTCCTGATTTTATTCGCAATCAGTGCGCGCCCCCGCTAATAATCACAACACATTATGGCGTTGCAGCCGCACAGCAAGAAGCGCGTCTGCTATTATTACGACAGTGAGTACATTTTATTATTTTCCCGCAATATTATTCATCTAACCTATCAGCAAAATGCGTTCGGTTGGCGGCATTCGTTTTCAATCATTGTCGGAAAGAAACAAATTTTTGGAAATTATATCACGTTTAAGCTTAGTTATCAATGATATTTTACTGTTTCCTGTGTTAATACTGGCAGTTTGTGCTTTTAATTGTGTAAATATGATCATTACACGGTTTTGTAAAGGCTTGTACGATTTTCGTATCTATAAGTCGAGATGCCCGCCGTAGACTCGACATTTGGTCGAAGTACCGTAGTCGTCCGCGCGCTCTGATTGGTCGACGCGGTAGTATGGCGGCGCTACGATGCTACTTTCTACGGTGCATCGACATTGTATGGCAGTCGAACATGGTCATCTCACCGATAATTTTGTAATTTGAGATTTAATTATCGCAATTTGTATCACGTTTCAGGTGATATTGGCAACTATTACTATGGGCAGGGACATCCCATGAAACCGCACCGCATACGCATGACTCATAATTTACTGCTCAACTATGGGTTGTACAGAAAGATGGAGATATACGTAAGTTTTCCGCGTGTTTTGAACTGTTCAAATGATTTTTAATTTTTATTGGTGTTGATTACCAGCGTCCACACAAAGCTACCGCGGACGAAATGACAAAGTTCCACTCGGACGACTACATCCGATTCCTACGGTCCATCCGACCAGATAACATGTCTGAATATAACAAACAAATGCAACGGTTTAATGTTGGTGAAGATTGTCCCGTCTTTGATGGACTGTATGAGTTTTGCCAACTGTCCGCGGGCGGTTCAGTTGCTGCGGCTGTGAAACTGAATAAGCAAGCGTCTGAAATTTGTATCAATTGGGGTGGTGGTCTGCATCACGCTAAGAAATCAGAAGCATCCGGATTCTGCTATGTTAATGACATTGTCCTGGGCATTCTTGAATTGTTGAAATATCACCAAAGAGTATTATACATTGATATCGACGTGCATCATGGCGATGGTGTCGAGGAAGCTTTCTACACCACTGATCGTGTTATGACCGTCTCTTTCCACAAGTATGGTGAATACTTTCCGGGAACAGGTGACTTGCGTGATATTGGTGCAGGCAAGGGCAAATACTACGCTGTGAACATTCCTCTACGCGATGGTATGGACGACGAATCGTACGAAAGCATCTTCGTGCCAATCATTAGCAAAGTTATGGAAACTTTCCAGCCCAGCGCTGTGGTACTTCAATGCGGCGCTGATTCTTTAACCGGCGATCGTTTGGGTTGCTTCAATCTGACAGTCCGTGGACATGGTAAATGTGTGGAGTTTGTTAAGAAGTACGGCCTTCCATTTATGATGGTCGGTGGCGGTGGTTACACGATTCGTAATGTTTCGCGTGCGTGGACCTACGAAACATCTGTAGCACTAGGCGTAGAAATCGCTAATGAACTGCCTTACAACGACTACTTTGAATATTTCGGTCCGGACTTCAAGTTACACATCAGCCCGAGCAACATGGCCAATCAAAACACGACAGAATATTTGGAGAAGATCAAAACGCGTCTGTTTGAGAATCTGAGAATGTTACCGCATGCGCCCGGCGTGCAAGTTCAAGCAATTCCCGAGGATGCTATCAATGAAGATTCCGACACTGAAGACAAGGTCGACAAAGATGAGAGGCTACCGCAGAAGGATCTGGACAAACGCATCGTACCAGAAAACGAATTCTCGGACAGTGAAGATGAAGGCGAAGGTGGCAGGAGAGACAACAGGAGTTACAAGGGTAGAAAACGTCCACGGTTAGATAAGGGCGAGAACAAGGAGAGTGCGACTGAAGAAAAAGCAAAAGAAGAGGTTAAAGTAGAGAAAGGTACTTATTACTGCAAGTTTTTATAAATATACCATTGTAACATTGAATCTGTTTGTTTCAGGCGAAGAAAAAGAAGATGTTAAACCCGCAGCCACCGACGAAGCAAAGAAAGACACGGGACCAACACCGTGACACAACCAATTACATTCTAAGTACAAGTGACATTAATTTGTTCACTTATCAATAAATCAATCCGAGATCGAGTTACAGGCGTGAAATGAACCCGACCGTGCGGTATCTTATCAAAAACATTTGAATTAAACAAACAAATCGAAACTGTGAATGAATTTGAACCCGGCCACGATATTGTTCAAACCGATTGTGCTGACATTTAACGCAATTACATACAACATCAGTTAGAAGCACGGAATGAAAAGACTATCCTTCAATTGATTTCAATAATTTTATCCTTGACTGTTAACTCGTCGCGATATTTAATTGTGCTGTAAGAAAGTTTAATTTATAACAATATCGATGTTTGAACAGTTTTATCAAATAAATCCATGAATACATAATTCATTGTAATGTGCATCTGGCACAGAAATTGTTTTGTGTATCTGATGTGAAATATGACTGCAAGGAAGGGCTTTATTGTGAGAAGCACAAGTGTTACTTCTATACAGAAAAATACTTCTTCCTCCGAACATTGTTCAATATTATTTTTATATGTCTATCTAATGTTAGTGATACTTATCTAAAATTAATTAAGTTATTCTCAAACTAGACTAGGAAGTAGGCAGTTCTGGATGGAATGCAACAGACAACCACAGAAATAAACTATTTCTTATATTAAAGCCAATGAGTGTTAATTATTTATTATTATTACAGTTTTTTAAGGTTTCAATCCATATTGATTGGCATGCTCTCCACTGATTGATTATTAAGATGATTGAGATTATTGAGACTACTCTTCAAATTTTTAAGAAATGTTCATTTTCTTAAAATTTGTATATTTTACATTCATTCCGGGACTACTGCCTGTATCGTTCAGAGATGGCACTAGCATGAACTAAAAATCATAAAATAGAATTGTACTCTTTATTTCTGTATTTATCGGCAAACATGGGCATTCGGCACGAGAATTGTGTTTGTTTTGAACACAATTTACTTTCTTATCGCTTCAGCCGCGTGGAATGCAACGCATGAGATTCACGAGTGCCGTCGTTGAAATCCCTTACGCCGCATGCGGCATATTCTAGTTTTTGTTAAAATCCTTGGATATAAAGCCTATAGCAATTCATTACGCACAAGGTCACGTACCATCGACGCGCGCCAGCTTTGCGCATCTCTTGCTTTCTTATCGTTGCGTCGTTGCTGCGCAGTTTACGGCTGCAGCGCAATGTCGGTGGTTTGCAGCCAGTTTCATTGCCGGCCGGTGTTTGATCAGACATTATTATTTGATACGAGTCGGGTGTGTTTGTTCTTCTGCTTTCTAAATTTACATTGTATTCGATCATCAATCGACTATTTAATTGTCAGTGGCGGATTACGGCTAGGCGCACTAGGCGCGCGCGCCTAGAGGCCCAGCTTTTGCCTGGGGGCCCGGCTGCCTGGGGAATTCCGGCTGCCTGAGGGCCCCTGGCATATATGTCCCATATAGACGCGTAATTCCACAAATGCGCCCCATCACTTGGTTTTGACCTCAGCCTTTATGAATAGCGTATTCGGACGCTTGGCGCCCAAAACGGCATTTCACACGTGTTCGCAAAGCAACCGTCACTTGTGAGGATATATAGCTGACTTGAAACTTTTATCTCCGATTTTATTGTTTCTTTATGGCAGAGCTGTTTTAAAATAAAATTTGGATGACACTTATACTGCGAATTTTGTGACCTTTTCTTGAATATTTCGTTTAGAAAGTTGTAGCTATAATGCGAGTAGTATATTTGCTGAATTTTTTAAAATTTCGAACATCTGTGGAGATGAGGACTTGAGGGAATATTCCATTGAGGTTGTAAAATAGCGGGTAGTAACTCTACTTTTTGAATATTAATTATTTCGTCTTTCTATCATTTTTTTTTCACGTCTACGGAACACGTTGAACCGACGTTTATCACTCTACAATTTTTTATCTGGATTTTTGGGGGTGGTAGTTTGGATTAAAAACAGAGAGTGGTCAGTGAGTCGTTAGAAAGTGTACTTAGAAAGTTACATGACTATGGCTTAGATATATCACAAACTGTAGGGGCCAATCTTATATGATAGCAGTTTGCTAACATGCTGGCAGGTACAAGTGGATTACAGGCGCACGTAAAACAACATTCCGTCAGCTGCATTCATACCATGTGGAAGTCATTCTTTAAATTTGGCTGAGCTTTTGCAGCGGAATCTTGTTCTGGAGCATTTACAGTATTTTTATGTTTTGCAAAATATACTTAACTTTCTTTTTGCTGCATCTACAAGACGGTGGAATATTTTAAGCTGAATGCATGAAGGATAAAATTCTAAAAAGTATCAAGAGAATAATTGATACACGATGGTCCGCAAAAGGTATTTGACGCTATTTTAGCCCCTAAGACTCAATTATCAATGAAAAATGAAAAACAAATTTTTTATTATCCAACTTTATTTTTATATTGTATGTGATGTATTAACATCAGAAATTACTCGAAGGGGCGATGTATATATCAGTATTCATGCTTTTGATTTTAAAATTTTCTTTGATTTAAAATTAAGCCGTGTTGAGACTAATAATTGTGTAGAGCGATTATTATTGTCTAAGTATGAAAAGATAGTAAGGCCAAGATATTTCACTGATAGGTTAGCTCACGTTTCTAAAATTCATACAAGGAAAGAAAATATTAGGGAGATCCACATGAAATATATGCAACATTAAGCAATGGTCATCACAAAACAGATATTTGAAGTAGACTTTTGCGGCGCCCATTATACATAAAACTATTAATTTTCAGGCTGTAATAACCGTTTTTTGAAATTTTTCCAGTTTACAGGGCCCCAAACTTGGTTTGCGCCTAGGGGCCCCACAGCTGAAACATAATCCGCCACTGTTAATTGTTACTACTGCTCTGGTAATGTAGTAATAATTATAAAAAGCAGTAGATATTTGATCGCGGCCCGTGTGCACACTTATGCAACCCGCATGGTTCGGTATGCGGTCGCTAAATGTAAGATTGGACGTAGCATCATCATTACCTTCGCGTAAGTTAGCACCCAATTCAACCTTACATATTGTATTTTCTATAGTATATAGATATATTATTCTTAAAATCTTAGGAAATGTTTCCAACTTCTTTTCTTTTTAGTAATTACAGAACTCCCTTTGTACCCTGGCGACTGATGCACGCACAATAACAATTCGTAAGTCTATGAATTCAACCATATTTTTAATTTCTAATTTACACGACCAACATATATTGCCTGGAACTGTTACACATCAAAAGATCGCGACGCGTACCTTTTCTTCCAGATATTGCAAGACGGTGGAACGCTAGGAACCCTTTGTGATACTTTATTCTAGTAACTGTCTTTAATTGGCCGCTAACGACGCCTTTTTCCAAATTTTCAAAACTTTCGGTGGAACAAGGGTCATATCTCTGGAACCCTTCGTGAGGGTTTGTATTTTTTTCTTCGGATTACTAGTTGCGCACGGGCGAAGCGAGACGGAACACCTTCTTCGGCCGCGTGAGATCAACACGCATGTGATTCCCGGAGTGTTGTCGTTAGGGAGATCCCTTCACGCCGCATGCAGCAAATTCTGGATTTGTTTTAGACCGCGGGTATCGGTACCTATTGCAATCGCGCACGGTCGCGAACCATCGACCGTCACGACTTTTGCGCATCTCTTGCTTTCTTATCGTAAAACTGTCGCGTTGTTGCTTGTTTGGCTGCGTAATTGTTATCAATGGTTTGCAGTCAGTTTCGTGGCGGGTGCTGTTTGATCCAAGAACGATGTTTTGGGCGAGCTCGGTATTTGTTTGATCGGACTTGTTTTCCTAAATTTACATTATATTCGACTATCAATCGAGCTTCTTTAACTACTATAGTATTGTTGTTTAATATTTGACGTTTAATTTACATTATGCAAATTCGCAGGGAATTTCGGTCGTAACTGCATAAAGATAGCCGCCAATTTGCCCTTTTCTTGCATTTTTAAAACACGCGCGGATTAAAATAGGCCATATCTCGCAGACCCTTTATTATATTTTAGTTCTTTCTTTGTTTAATGATAGGCAAAATGCATTTTTTAAAATGCACCCCTGAAACCCGCGAAATTCAGTCGTAACTTTGCCTTAAAATGGCTGCGAAAATTTGCCTTTCTTGCATTTTTTAAAACACACGGTGGAAAACAGGCCATATCTTGGGAACCCACTTTGTAATATTTTAGTTTTTTCTTTGTTAATGATATGGTAAGAGTGCATTTTAAGAGATTCATCTTTGAACCTCCCACAAAATTTTGTCACATGCAATTTACTTCAAAACGGCCGCCAAAAATTTGCCCTTTTTCTTACATTTTCAAAACACTCAGTGGAAACAGGTCATACATCTCAAGGCCCTTCGTCAGTTTTAGTTTTTATATTTAATGATGGGGCAAGAGTGAATTTTAAGATGCACCTTTGAACATCCGCGGAATTCGGTCGTAATTGCCTCAAAATGGCCATAAAAGTTTGCTCTTTTCTGCAATTTTCAAACGTGGTGGTAAACGGAACATATACTCCGGAGACCCTTTGTCATATTTTAGTTTTTCTTCATTTAATGACCGAGCAAGAATGCATTTTAGGGTGCAGCCTTGAATTCTCGCGAAATTCGGTCGTAACTGCCTCAAAATGTAGCCGCGAAAATATGCCCTTTTCTTTTACATTTTAAAACACACGGTGGAAAACAGGCCATATCTCAGGATCCTTTGTCATATTTTAGTTTTTTCTTTATTTAATGACAGGAAAGAGAGCATTTTTAAAAGATTGCACCATTGAATTTACGCGAAATTCGGTCGTAACTGCCTCAAAATAGCCCATAAAGTTGCCCTTTTCTTGCATTTTTCAAACACACGGTGGGAAAATGGGTCACATACCTCAGGAACTACTTCGTTGTATATAAGTCAAATTGATTTTTGCCGAATGATTTGAAGTTTTTATTTTGATTTTGCGCAAAATTCTGTTTGCTTATCTGTATGCACTATATACTATTGCGTGTTGTCATTTGTGTACGCAGTTTACGTTTTGTCAGTCGTTGGTTGGGTCGGACGTGTTTCTCGCGAGGATTTGTTATCGTTTATTTTTAGTTTGTTATTCGGTAAATCGCGTTCATTTCCGTCGTCCATCGACTGTATTTAGTTATTATTATTGACGTTTTAGTGTTTTGTGAAGTAAGATAATCGTTAATTTTACTGCTTGCGTTTGTTGTGGCCGATTACTTTATCAACTTGACACATTTCGTGCTCGCGAAATACAGATAACATGAACCTGCAACATCTTGCAACGTTTGTTGTGATATTATTTCGTTTAGTTACGATATATCGGGGTTTGTCGTTGTGTTTGGTATTTTGCCCCAGGAACATGGACAATGTTCTGCATTGAAGCCGAGACAGAACGGTAGAGTGCAGAAGTTTCTATTTTCCTTTTCTGAAATTATAGTCTCCGCTATTGTTTTCGAAGTCTTATTTATACGCGTGCATTTAAGTCTTTGCTTACGCTGGGTTAGAATAATATCTTATCTTGTTATTTTTGTGAACATGCTTATCTAACCGTGTTTAGAATTACTGTATTCAAATGTGATTTAATTTTACTTGTTGGTGAATTATGCGCCAAATATTTGCCCGAGGATCATCTTTTGTCTA